TAAGGGACTCTAGTCATTCAATGTTCCCTGAAAATCTTTAAGCCAGGCATGCAAGCTCATGGATATATGTTCAAAAACAGGCTTAACCCTCTGCTTATCCATCCTCCTCATCATCATTAATCTTTGCATACATGAAGATAGGTTTATTGATCTATATATAATACCATTCTCTACTCATCTCTGGAACCATTTTCTGTAAATGTTGTTTTTATTCTCTCAGAAGAGGGAATGAGAATCATTCCCAAGCCTTTCTATCTCTTTTTGAACTTTCATTAGTTGGTTCAATTCAGCAGTTTTGGTTCAAACTCCTCTCTAAGCTGACTGATTCAAACTGGCTTCTCTTGGATTCTGACTGAATTGTTCTGCCTGACCTCAGACTAAGTCTGGCAATATGTTTTAATCCTCTGGCTCCTTCTCATTCTCTGGCTTATCCCGTCTTCACCCGTGTTTAGCTTGTTCTCTCTACAACCTGTCTCTGTAAAACTGTCTTGATAAAACACTCTCCTAATTTCTCCCTGCATTGCTTTTAAGTACACACTTTTCTTTCCTGTTTTTATGAGAGTTGGGTGTATTCTATGTCTGACTTAGTCTGTGAAATTTTTCTCTGATTTGTCACTGCCTCTCAATCAGGTGTCACTTTTAAACACAGCTGCCTCCTATAAACTAAACTTATCTTCATTGCTTAGGATTGAAGGTGGGTATTAAGAGCGTTTCTGCATACTGGACAGATCTTAGTGTAATCATAATGAATTCCAGATGGATCACAAAGACTTGAAAAGGTCTTTGGATGTGATCTCTTGCCAGAGCAGCCATGTTGCTGGATTAAAATTTCTCTACAAATTTCTCTGTAGAGTCTTTGTTAAGATTCACCTCTGCCCCTTGGGCATTATTTCATTCCATGCTGTTCATTTTCCTATTCTATCACCTAGAAGAGTGGACATGTGTTCTTTTCTGCTGGGTTGTGAGCTGAAGCCAGCCTTCTATATTCACGTATGTTTTGTTTTCTACAGTAATACTTCAGAGACAGATTTTTCAACAAGTATTTAGGAAATAAATAGTATGTACACAATTTATTCTGCATTCTCTCTCTCTTCTTTCTTTTCTTCTTCTTCAAGAATGAAAAGGTCTTCTTGAAATGTTGTAAAGTCATCCCCAGCTCAGAATGGACAGTGCTCCTGAGATCAATAATCTTCCTTTCTCTGAATTAAGGGCCATTAAAAGTGTCTAGCAAGAGACTAAAAATCCTACAATTTCTTCTTTCCTTCAAGCAGCAAGTCCTGAGATTACCCCAATACCAACAGTTTTTCCTAACTTAAGCTCTTATTGTTTTAACACGGGAATTTATATTTATTTGTTTTTGTAATAGGAAACCTTTCGAGGGCCTGAGATCACTTAAGACCATTTCCTGTTCTTAAGGAGGAAATAGTTTGGTTTGCAGCAACTCAGAAGGATCTGTGATTTCAGTTCTAGAAGATTCAATACTCTTTTCTGGCTTTCATGAGTACTGCATGGGCATATGTCATGTATATACTTGCTGGCATTTACACATACACATATAAATAAATCATCAAAAAGGATCATTTCCACCTTGTCATCTTTTATATCTATACATTAAAGGTTTTATAGAGAAGTATGGAAATTCTGGGAGTTGCTTTTGCTACTTCATCTACCCCTAAACATGTACCAAGTATTTTAATTGTACAAATTTATACAGTTTGTCTATTATAATATTTTTTATTTATTCATCTAGTCTATGGTCTTTCAAGACTGGGTACTATGTAGCCCAAGCTAACCTGAACCCTATGATACTTCTGACTTACTCTCTTGAGAGATTTCAGGCACGTGTCTCCATTCTGTATTTCTACATACAGATTTCAGAAAATTAAATGGCTAAGTAGTTTTACATATTTGCTACTTTCCACAAAGATGTATGTATGTGTTGACAACACCTAAAATCTATGCTTAGAAAAAAATCAAATACCTAATTTTACTAATACATTTCATTAGTTAATTTCTCATTTAACAATGACTAAGAAGAAAAAAAAGACTAAACTAAACATACTTGTAGATGTAAGAGTTGATAAACACATACCATATAAAAACAGTTTGCTTTTTAGATCTCTAAATAGCACCAAGAAAGTTGGCAAGAACAAGTGAGCCAAAAATGGAGCCAAGAAGAGGGTTGTTTCCAAGAAATGTTGTTATAATGTGAATGTACCAGCTATAGACAATGTAAGAAATACCAGAGATACAAAATTCACAGGGACTCAAAGAACCAGAACTGGATGTGATATCCTCAGAGCTTCTACTTTGAACTGAGTTTTGCTCATATGAAGAAATGTTACATTCAGAAAATCGGTTAAAAACCTTGTTTCAAAGTGTACCAATTATTATTTTTTAATCAAGTAAACAACTAAATCACAAACATGATATTAAATACAAAATATTTCAATATAAAAAACAACCAAACTTCTATGGCATGGATTTTACCCATGACAAATGTATTTAATAAAGAAAAAAATGGCAGATCATGATTGAAAGTCATGCTGTCAAGACTACCAAGAGTGGTTTGGCCTTTCAAGACTCTCAGCTCAGTGGCTGGATCTTTGATCACCATCCCCTGAGTATGAGGGGTGTCAGGGGGCAGGGTCACCCTTACCAGGCCATAGTAGAAGACAGTGCAGCCAGTCCTGATGAGATCTGATAGAATCAGATGGAAGGGGAGGAGGATCTCTCCTATCAACGGACTGGTGGAGGGGCAGGGAGGAGCAGAGGGAGGGTAGGACTGGGAGGGGGAAAGCAAGGGTGCTCCAGTTGGGATATAAAGTGAACAGACTCTAACAAAAGAGTTTTAAAAACTCACTTTCTGTAAGACATCCTGCCTGGCATGTGGAATGAAATGCAATTTAGATATTTAGATATTTCAACAAAATAATAAAAGTTAAAAGCAAAAAAAAAAAAAAAAGATACAAATATCTTGATTTGTTTAGAACATGAAGGTCCCACAAATCCCCAAGAAGATCAAAACCATTTTCCTAGAGCTGTAGATAAATGACATAAATATAACATTTAATCTATTTTGGGCAGTGTCGGAAAAGACAGAGAAAGCTCTACCACTGTTTATCCACCTTGTTGTACCTTTATTAGAGAAGTAAAAATATCTTTAAAAACCTCTTTGTTGAATTGGGAAAAACTTTAACCTCACGTAGATGGTTGTAGTTCTAAACTGAAACTGAGATATAGGCCCCCAAACTGAATAAACTTATGGATGCCCAGAGAACCAAAATCTTAAAATTCAGACTTTTCATAATGACAAGTAAACTGCCCTATTCATAGTCATATGTTTTGTGATTATCTGGGCTTTTTGAAGGCAAAATAATGTGGAAAGAAGAAAAATGTGTTATTTTATTCTATATGGTGTTTGCAATCTTTTAACTCATGTTAGCAAGTAGAACATCACTTGTGCTGTATGATCTAACTTTGAACCAATGAAAAATGTATTTGTGCATTTATCAGAGCAAACGTGGTAGCACTGTCCCTCAGGCGGATGGGCTTAGGTGTTTAATAATGTCAAGTGACTTGCCTAAGAGAAGATAAAACAGCACACCCTCTGGCAAGGAGAAAATTTAACCAGCGCCAGTTTCAAAAGCATAGGGCCTCTGTAAATTAAGACGTTAATCCAAACTCCCCTTCTTTCTTATGATTCCCTGTACTCTGCCAAAGGTTTGGTCATGAGTCTTTGCTTTGAAAACACTGCTAGTTAGAGTTTTTCAAATGCGCTCAGTAGACTCCTGTCAATGTTTAATGTGCATCCCATCTGTCTTTCAAAACGAGGATTGATAATCATACCCCATGTCCGCTCTCTTGATTATCTTTTTTAGGTGTATAGATTTCATTATGTTTATCATATCTTATAGGTCTATATAAGTGAGTATATACCGTGTTTGTCTTTCTCCTTCTGGGATATTTCACTCAGGCTGGGATACAGAGTTAATAAAATGTAACTGATAAGAAAAAAATAAAATTAAAAAAAAAAAAGACGTTAATCCAGGTTGAGACAGTTTGCTTGTAAGATATGTGTCAAAAGCTAGGTCCACAGCTAGATGTTAAAGGACTGGATGAATCAAGGACATCAAAATGAAGATTGCCATAAGATTCTCACTTCTTTCCAAGAGCTCTATCTTCAAAGAAGACAGTTTCTGATAGCCTCTGATGAAAGATGGGTGTCCCCTCAGTGGCATAATTTGATGAGCCAGACTAACATGCTAACAAGATGACAGCCATTAATTAAAAAAAAATGTATCTTTAAAATGAGCACAGCAAATTTTCTAATGCGGATATATTCAATCTGATAAAAATTTTAAGATTAAAATTTTTAAGTGATGAAATTGAGAATGGAGAGGTTGCAATTTAGTTTAATATATCCAATCTAGGAATTAGAACATATATTTGAAATAGGTTACTGATGCATTACTTCATCCTGCACGTATTCAGTCTACAAATCCTACCCTGGACACCTACAACTCGGCATTCTCTGTATATATTTGATCTACAAATTCTATCTTGGACACTGCCACTTCACAGTTCTCTGGCATCCCTAAAGCCAATTAGTGACGAAGCCCCAGATCTCCAAACCAAACTGGAGAATTTAATTGAAACTTTACTGGCCAATCACCATCTAGAGAAAGGAGAGATTGACTCTTTCATTGTTCAAAATTGTGAACTGAGACTAAACCTTTCACAACTGTATTTGGGAGGTTCCCAGGGATTGACCCATAAGTAGATTATAGAAACAAAATGCATAAAATAAAACGATTCTCAGCATCAAATAATACCCACAGCTTTGAGACACATTTCACTTGGCTCTATTACCCCTGACATGATGTTTTGTGAACATCCACAATGTATGACAGCAAATTGATGAGTAATGTATTTGTGTGACCATCTTGATCCTTTTGACCAATGTAAAAACCATTCAGCAATCATAAGCTGAAGCTTACCTTGTTTCCATTTTCCCGTGTTTCTCGGTCCATCTTGAGGTCAGAGATTAGAAGGTTCTTATACTTGTTTTTCCCATTACTGCCTTGGTCATCTATCCTGTATTCTGAAGTCAGCTGTGCAGAACGGGGGCTGTCGCTCAGGTTCAGTGGCTGCTCCTCCTGCTCCAGCCCGGCTTTGCCATCACTGCTGGAGTCCCCAGTCTCCCTGCCATGTGCTCCCCCTGAAGCAACCGAGCTGTGCCCCAGAGCCTCGTTGCCATTAAAGCTCTCTGCAGCAGAGTCATCTGTTGGGAAGGAAGGTTTATAGTTTAAGTAATATGCTAGATCATCTCTAACTAGTGTCGGCTAAGTTCTGATAGGTGTGTGGTGTTGTGCCTCTGATTTTACTCATACGTGTAATTTAACTAAGTGGTAAGCTTGGTTTGAAGCAGCAACTGTTGTTTTTTAATCCAGTAAACACACTAAAGCACAAACATGATATCAAATTTTTAAAAAAGAAAATAGTCCAATATCAAAATCAATCTGAAAAAAAAAAGTCAAGTTGACAAAGAGAATGGGATAACTGCCAATTGCTTTGCAAAAATTTGACTCTTTCATTAAGAACATTCAGGAGTTCTGGAGAGATGGTTCAGAGCACTGGCTGCTCTTCCAGGGGTCTTGAATTCAAGAGCCACAGGGTGGCTCACAACCATTTATAATGAGATATGTTGCCCTCTTCTGGCATGCAGGTGTATATGCAGACATAACATTCAATACATAATAGATAGATAGATAGATAGATAGATAGATAGATAGATAGATAGATAGATAGATAGATAGATAGATAGATGATAGATCTTTAAGCTGGGTGCTGTGGTGCACATCTGTAATCCCAGCACTCAGAAGCAGACAGATCTCTGTGAGTTCAAAGCCAGCCTAGTCTACAAAGTGAGTCCAGGATAGCCAAGGCTACACAGAAACCTTGTCTTGAAAAATAATAAATATAAAAGGAATATTCAGACAAGAGGGCAATTCACTAATAAATAGAAGCTCCTATCCAGGTGACTACCTTGTTACATGATTCATGAGTGTTAAGTTTTTATGTAAAATATATTAAAACAAATTTTGCCCCAGGCATTATACTTTAGTAACTTTTCCTTCTTGCTTGCTTTTGTTGTTATTGTTGTTGTTTGTCTTTTGAAACAGGGTTTCCCACTGTAGCCCTGGCTATCCTGGAATGCTCTCTGTAGACAAGGCTGCTTTGCCTGCCTCTGCCTCCCAAGTGCTGGGCTTATCTAAGAGGAGACAGTTTAAACTTTGTGTGTAGTACTAGTATTGATTGGAATAGCAAAAAATATTCAGAAATGGCAAAGATTTACAAAAATAGAAAAATGGGTTAATAGGTAAAATAGGATAATATACACTACTCATATTTCCTTTTACTATTTAGGGAAATGTGGTTCATGAAGTATTTAATAGGAAAATCTAGCTAGGGTGATTGATTTTATTTCAATATATAAAATAAAAATCTATAAATAAAATTTACACAAAATAATTACATTCTACTTTTCTTATGTCAAATTACCATGGACTATATAAGGCTATAGAGAACAGATCTGAGAAGCTATCTCTCCAAGGGTATTAATGAAAATTAACCATAAGAATATAAATAAATAAGAGGAATAGAATGCACTGTGATTCTGTACACTTCTGGATAATGTACAATATGCATTGTTGATGGAATAGTTGATGTTTTTATTCAATTCCATTCATAGGAATACTCACTGAAACTCTAAAATGGGTCCATTTATTTACTTATCCAACAGATAAGTATATATATATATATATATATATTACTTTTTTATATATTTATATATATATATAATATTTAGTCTATACAAACTGTGCTTTCAGTGAGTTCACAAATAATTAAAGGGACAGAAAAGTAAGTATAATACAGAGAAATAAAGTTGCTATCTAGGACAAGAAACAAAACTTCTGAAATTGTGCTGATTCATTTGAACTCCTAAAGATAGGAAGTATCTGCCAGGTTGAAGATGTTGGGAATCTTCCCTGTAGGACAATCAGCATGAAGAAAGTCATGAACGGAAGATTATTTAGGGCAAGAGATCATGGTGAGTACAAAAAACGGAATGGGAAAAGAAGGAAGGGAATAATAGAACAGGAAATGATGCTTCTGTTAGAGGAGTGGGCACTCAGAGCAAATATGAATAGTTTATACTTCTTTTGGGAGGTGACAGGGAGAAAATATTTGCTGATGTTGTTTTGCCTTATAAGATGGTATCTCTCCCCATAAATCAGGCTGGCTTTAAACTCAGCATCCTCTTCCTACCTTAGCTAGGTGACAGGTACACACCTGACCCTGTCTTTAAAATTCTTTTTTAAAGACATTACTCATACTTTTATGAAGACCAGGGAATGAAGAAGGTAAAACGAGAGTTGAAGGATGATCAGTTAAAAGAATCAGAAACCATCAAAGTTGGCATCTCTGAAGGCCAGGACAGGCAGGGAGAGGAAGAACAGAACAGTGATGAGGAGGAAGGGGACATAGAGCGTCCCAGAATGGGAATGAAAGATACTTAGTATGAATTTAAATAAAATGGTTTAAGCAAAGGGTATGCACAGAGAAAATATACACAGGCACACTCAAGAGACTGCTCACAACAGTACCATGGCGGTTTCCACAGCTGTTTGTTTGAGAAAACAAAACCAACCTTTTATCAATGAAATGTGTAGTACTTTTAAACACAGAATTAAAGGGAATGATCTATAAAAGTAATTTGGGAAAATACGTGTGCTATTGTATTCTAATTCGAGCATTTATGCTAATACACAGTGGGTTATTTGTTTTGTTGTTATTTCATTCAAGGAAAGTCTAAAGAGAGCACAATAGATATATTTAAATATAATTATTTCATTTATAAACAGATGTGCTAACTTTTGTTCACTAGAATCCTCTAAAAATATATTAAACATTCCCTGTTCTGGTAAGAATGCTTTACCAGTAGAGAATAAATAACCTAAATTAGTATTACTTTTTAATTCAAATCTATGCTAGCATAAAGCAAATCCAAATTCTGTTATAATTAACAATTAAACCTATGGTTTTTTTCTGTAATCTGAAATCATGATAAATGATTTAGTGCAGATATAAACTTATTTACACATTAGATTAGATGAGAATTACCATTTGGAAGACTCTTTTACAGAAATAATTTAATTATAATTTCCATATAAAATATAAGAAATGTGAGAAATATTTTTAGATGGAGTACTTTACTCCAGTTGTTACCAAGGTAACTAAACTCAATAGCTTTACATATTTGATTCCTCGGTAAATCAATGTGTTTTATAGAACAAATCAGTAAATTGCACTTATTTGTATTAGATATGCTTACATAAATTGTAATTTAAATGGTTAACAGTAACATGCTAAAGTTTAAAAAAAATAAATTTGAAATAAATATCAAATGTTTTCATTTAAATAAATCAATGTAGAGCACTGATTCAGTATTAGAGGATGAATTAACAATGTTTTATTGTCTTGCCTCATTCAACCACATTAGCAGATCTTAAATTCTCCGGTTTAGCATTAACAACTCACATCAGTTCACTGCTCTCAAGGAGGCGTTCTGCCTTCTTACCCAATGCAGTGGACTCCATCCACCTTGGCTGCTGGCGTGAGGCTAACAGGCTGCTAGCTACACTGAGAGAAGAGTCTATTTGTAGTGTGAGTTGAAGGGAGGGGCTTCCGGATCCTCGCTTCCAGGTGGATGGGTCTTCTCTGAAGGATTCGACCCAGGTACCATAGCATCAGAACCAAGACTCTGTATGAAGTCTGAAGGATAAACAGCGCTTGGAGCTTGGGTGAACAGGGGTGGCCAGGGAACCTAGCAACAGACGAGAATGTGGAATGTGGTGACAGGATAGTGTGGAAACCGACATGGCGAGGGCGGGGAGATATTTGGATGTAATGTACCCTTAGATGGGCTCTGGTGGAGTGGTTTTGGTGTTGTGGAGACTTACTTTGTGCCTTTTAGTTCCGCCCTAGGTCCCGCAGAAAAGGTTGCAATACCAAAAAGGCTGTCCATCTTATCCTTTCTCTTCTACTCCCCATTCCAGCCACCAGATAGCAAAGATCTCGGAACACTAGGACTACTTTGAACACTTGTTAAGTATCTGACTTTTAACACAGGTAAACACTCGTTAAGTATCTGACTTTTAGTCATTCTCCGTAGCTCTTCATCGTGCCCTTTAGGCCAGCTGCCTTGAGAAAATGAACAGTAAAGCTGGGCTCTTTAAGTTCCATCCTGGAATCTTACTCTTAAAATCTGGATCGAATGTTTGCACCTCTAAACAACCTTTTCTTTTTTTGTTATCTTTCCCCATAAATGCATTATGCATTACATTTATTCATTTAGGATAAGTTGTTCTTTGATAGATCTTTGATATATATATCTTACTATGAAGCAAACTTTGAATCCAAGATATAAATGTGGATAATATTATACCAAGAGATACCACCTTATACACAGAAGAAAAAGAAGTTAGAAGTTCTTTAAAAATCTGTCTGCAAAGTGAGGTCAGGCACAAGGGTCTTAGTGTCTATGCATGGCTTATGTACTCTCAGGGTCTCTTGCAAAATTTAAACACACAGGCATGACAGATGGGAACAAATCTCCCCTCCCACTTCAGAGCCTCTCTCTACAGTAGGAAACAGATTGTTCTCACTTCCATCTTTTGTCATTTTACATACAAGAATTAAAAGCCTGACTACTGAGGTCCTGTGCTCCCAAGACAGGAAAAAAAATATTAGAATAGTTTAAAATGTTACAATCCTGGCGTCTAACAAGCTAAAGCAAGGATGATGATGGGTTTGAGACCTGGCTACCAAATGAAACCTTGTTTCAAATGATAAATGATTAGCTTAAAAATGTCACTTTTGTTTGCATAGCACAGTTTTCTTTGGGTTAGATACAATTTGACAATATAACCTTGAATGTGTACAGGAAAGTGAAGCCAAGGCTTGAAGTCAAAATATTCACACCAAGGACACATTTACTGTGGTAAATAAATGCAGGTATAAGAAACACTGAAAAGGTACAGAACACTGGTTTTTAAATCATAAAATTGATTTACTGAGAGTGAGAAAACAATGCCTTCAGTTTTTAAAATATAATTTATTTATTACAATTTATTCACTTTGTATCCAAGCTGTAGTCCTCCCCTCCTCCCCTCCCAATTCCACCCTCCTTCCTTCCCTCCCTCATTTCCTCCCATGCCC